CCCCCACCCCCCATAGCACCCCAGGGTCCCCTACCCACAGCCCCCAGGGGACTCTCCCCACCAGGGACACCCCACCCAGGACTCCAACACACCATCGCTCCAACCAACTGTCCAGGTGTCCAGTCAGCAACCATCAACCGTCCAACCATCAACCGTCCAACCATCCATCCAACCATCCAACCATCAACCGTCCAACCATCAGCCGTCCAACCATCCATCCAACCATCCAACTGTCCAATCAGCCAATCATCCCTCCATCCAACCATCCCTCCTGCAATAAAAGCACCCACCCATCTTTCCAACCATCCAACCACACATCCATAAAACCATCCATCCATCCATCCATCCATCCATCCATCCATCCTTCCTTCCTTCCTTCCTTCCTTCCAACCACCCACCCAACTCTCCAACCTTGCACGTGCCCATGCCATCACCCACACACTTGTTAGCACCCAAGAGATGTTCTCAGTTCCCACAAGACCCAAGGTACGAGGACGGGCCCTGCCCAAGATCCTGCTGCCACCCCAAAACCAGGGCCCAAGGGGGACACAGATGTTGTCACCTGTGATGGTGTCGATGGAGACGGGGCCCAGGCGCTTCCGACCCCACACCCCGTACAGGTTGAACTTGTGGCGCCGGGACGGCGACAGCCCAGGCACGCTCACCGTGCGCGAACCACCATCCACGGGCAGCACCTGGGGCTGGCCCTGTGCATCCCTGTACTGCACCGTGAAGGAGTCAAAGGTGCCCTCGGGGACGCTCCACTCCAGCTGGACGGAGTCAGAGGTGATCTGGGAGGCCGTGAGTTCGCCCAGGCGGGGCTGGGTCGGTGGCTTCTCCTCTTGTGGAGCTGGGGCTGCAACAGAGAGGACACAATGCAGGGCATAAACATCAACCCATCAATCCATCCATTCCTCCACCCCTCCATCCAAACAAGAAACATTCTTCCATCAACCTATCCTTCCATCCCTCCAACCTTGCGTGCTGCCATCCCTCCATCCATCCCCCAGTCAGCACCCAAGAGATGTTCCCATTTCCCACCAGGCCCAAGCTCCTGCCACACTCCAAACCCAGCGCCCAAAGGGGACATGGACAGACCCTGCACAGGCCCTCACCTGTGATGGTGTCAAAGGAGATGGGGCCCACACGTTTCGGACCCAACACCCCGTACAGGTAGAAATTGTAGCGGTGGGACGGTGACAGCCCAGGCACGCTCACTGTGCGGGAGCCACCGTCCATGAGCAGTGACTCGGGATTCCCTACTGCATCCCTGTACTGCACCGTGAAGGAGTCAAAGGTGCCCTCGGGGACGCTCCACTCCAGCTGGACGGAGTCAGAGGTGATCTGGGAGGCCGTGAGTTCGCCCAGGCGGGGCTGGGTCGGTGGCTTCTCCTCTTGTGGAGCTGGGGCTGCAATGGAGAGAGCGCAATGCTGGACATAAACATCAACCCGTCCATCTATCCTTCCAGAAACCAAACATCCATCCATCCAATGCTTTCTCCATCTTTCATGTAATCAGTTATCCATCCCACCATCCTCTACCCATCCGACCTTCCATCCAGTCATGTATCATGAATCTCTCCCTCCATCCCTCCAACCTTGCATGCTCCCATACCACCAAGCCAGTCAGCACCCAAGAGATGATCCCATTTCCAAGAGGACAAACACGACCAGGGCAGACCCTGACCCAGCTCCTGCCCCACATCTACCCAGATCCAAAGGGGACACAGACGGGCCCCAAAGAACTCCTCACCTGTGACGGCATCAGTGGAGATGGGGCCCACTGATGCAGGTCCGACACACCTGCGCCGGACCTGATCGCCTCTGCGAGAGGTGATTTTTCTACCCAATTATCCATCCATCCATCCATCCATC